GTGAGCTTGACACGCGTGCATTCGATATTACCACGCTGGGCAGGCATTCATCAGTTCAGTCAAGCTTGGTACGAAGATGGCGCTAGAGCCGCTTTAATTACTTGAATGCAGACAGTATCAATGTGATTTTACAACATGAGACTAAATACGTGACGTGCTCTACTTTCGCTAGCAATATATCCATGCCTTTTGCGTACAAATCGAAATCGCGAAAAGATCTCAGTCATTGGACCGTGCGCCCAGCGCTCGCACTAAGCCCCACAAGCTATATCAGTCGGCGTGTTTGATGGGCTCACGATGAAATCGTCGTACGCGACGAGGCTTCCACTGTGGGGTGTGAGCTGGGGTGATCCGCTGGCGTCCTTGGTAACGGTAAAGCGGGTCGAGTAGCTGCGGGAGTTGCATCGTTAGTATACTCCATCAGACTAGTACAATGCTCACGGAGTTGTGATTTTGGAACGTACTAGGCCTGAGAGCAGTTTCCACCATCGTATCTCGTTTCGATAACACCAAGCACCTGGTATGTCTTCTCGGCGGTTGTTTCTGAATCAACGGTAGTCACGTTAGGAAGATGGTTCCAAAGCTTGTTGCCAGCTACGGGGAGAAGCTCCTCCTTCAGCGCGACAATCTCTTCGGGGCCAGTAGCGGTGTTCTCAAGAACAATGAGCTGCCCGTTGGGTGTGAAGAAATCGGTAAAAGTGCTTGTAGCAGACGGGTCCTCCGCGGAGGCGTAGAGCCTACAAGTTTGGGTTAGTGCTCTAGTCGTTCTTGCCGTTTGCGGGAGAATCATGAGATATCGTACTCTTTGACGAAGGACTCAAAACCGACTTCGACCCCAGATCCTGTGGAGTACTGAGTCATCTCGACTGATGCTGCTACGCCCAAGAGGCAGACAGGTGTGATAAAAGAAGAGAGCCTCATTGCTGGTTTTGCTGGTTTTGCTGCGTACTTGTGGAATGTACTGTAAGGTGACGGGAGAGATTATCGTAAAATGATTCATAACCTGTAGCTTTTATACCTATTCATATCGCACATGAGTTGGCCTAGTCCACAACGAAGTAAAATAGTACTCAACCATACCCTCTCCGAAGCAATACCGTGGCTAGCGATAGTAGCTTCACCGCTGCTACGTATGGATACAAACACCAGTCTGCTTCACGCATGCCGTCTGGTTGGTGAGTGAAAGCTCGTTGGCAAAACTGAGACAGCGATGCAGCCAGTCAGTCACGAACAACGAAGAAGTCGGGGTTCTCCTCCAAACAGAACGTCCTTGATTGATTTTGCTGCTTTCAAAGGGAAAGTCACATTCGCTAGCCACTGTATTCGAAATGCTATGGTCTAAGCATTCTACGAGATGTGGTCGGGCCGGCGCGGCGGTATATCCACATCGTGAAGGAAATTCGGCCGGGGAAATTTTATAGGTTGCGTCACTTGCTGAAGACGTCTTACCTTCTTGCACAGGGAGACAATAGAGAGAAGAAACCGATAGCTCATCTTTTTCTTGGACAAGATTGTGCTTCGTAACAACCCTAGGGTGATGTTGAGGGGCGTCGCCACGGTTTGGAATTTGAGCCCATTGACGCCTGGGCAATGATCACCGTCCAGCTTGTGGGCCACGATGCCTTGGCTGGACGTTCGAGCCACGATTGAAGGCCGTGTCGTGAAGAAAATTCTCCACAAAGATAACACAGGTGGGTGGTAGTCGTCTTGAAGGTGGGCCCTGTTCGTGATCATGGGACCTTCTGGCTTTCGCGCGCGAGCCTGTCCAATCGTTTCGCAACCATGAGGCATGCTCATACTTGTGCCGCTTCGATCATATATAGCCTGGAGTGTCGTGTTAGCAGCTCATGGCCCGCAAGCGTGAATTTCGATGCCATGGAGCTGGGGCATCATGGGTAGAGAGGGAATGTGCCTCGCGCCTCATTCAAGGTACAAACTGAAATACTGGGTTGCGATAAAGTCAACGAGCTTCCAAGGCAACGTGGACTTCTAGGTTGGGAGGCACCTAGGTAGGTATTCATCTTTTCCCATAGATTTTGTGCTCGCCTCTTTGGATAGGTGCATGACAGCTATGTTACCCAACCAGCGGGCAAGCTGCTTCTCAAGCTATGGAGAGACTGAGGTGAAGCATGGCAGCGTACCTTGGGAACTCGGCGCATTCTTTCGAAGATCAGTGGTGTCCAGCCGCCTCGACCGGGTAGGGCTGCCGGTAGATTTGCGATTGCGCAACAGAGCTGAAGACGTCGGGCGCCGAACGATTGCGCCATGGTATTGACCTTCCTGATGCTCGTTCTATCGTTCATACGGGTGTTGGCGTGTCTTCGTGATGCAGTGGGCCACGTATCGATTGCATTGCTGATCGGCAGGTGCAGAGGGATGGCACACTTGGGCACGGGCTAGTACGAGAGAATAGCAGACCGCTCTTGTGTTATGACATCTTCGCGCGCGACAACGTATTTCCTGTCGGTAGCGGTAGTCAATGACGAAGTGAGTGGATGCGATGCGACGAGGGACCAATTTTCCCCATGGGATGTGGTGGAAATTGAGCCGACATCTTGATTTGGGGTAGATCTAGAGGAATTGCCGATTGCGGGGTTGCTGCAGGAACGCGGAACCTTAAGCTGTACGTCATCTTCGGTACCTGGCGACGGCATGGAAGCTTGTCATCGCACTGTAGCACATGTATATATTCTGGCTATGCGACTATGATGTCGTTGCGTTTAGAGTTTCCAACTAGTATCTAGCAACGTTACCGCTGCTTTCACCATGCGACTCTTCACCCCAATCACTGCACTTGCTGCTGTTACTACCTTCACAATGGCACAAAGCGCACCAGAACCACCTCAGATGACCCTAATTTACCACATGGAGGCGCTCCTGGGAGAAAGATTCTCGCTCGGTTCTATTCCAACCGGGCAAGAACGTATCGTCATCCCTATCGTTGGAGGCACTTTCAAGGGCCCAAGAATAAGTGGTGAGTAGTCCTCTTGGCCTAAACATGTCATCGTGTTTCAAAGATCATGAGAAAAGGCTGGGATATCTCTTCGACAGCTCGTGCCTCGTGCTCTTATGTATCATGACGTCATGTCACTCACATCTTGTAAGGCAAAGTTCTCAATCTCGGCGCGGACTGGCGCCTTACGGACGCGCAAGGCGCTTTCCGACCAGACGCCCGATACAATATCCAGACCGATGACGGAACCTTCATATACGTTCAGACCATAGGACTCCCACCCGCTGCGGATGGTGCCCCCACGATGTTGCGAGGACAATTCGAAACCGACACAAACGGAACTGCTGCGTGGTTGAACGATGTGGCTGCTGTAGGCGTCCTCAGAAGGAACGGAACGTCGAGTGTAATAATCGACATGTGGCAGGTATGTGGAGGGAAAAGAGCACGAGACGAAATTAAGGCTAACCAGCTCAGGCATCTCCACCTGCATAGCGGTCAGACTTTGATGTTGAAAACACAAATAAAATCTGGATTGAACTATCATCGTGCAATGCTTGATGCTGATTTCTCTTTCGACAATCCCGATGCGGGTGGCGGTTGTGGCTCACCGTGTGGCTGGTAGCCGAAAATTGGCGCCGACCTCGCTCTTCCGCTAGTGCGCGTCTTTCTTGCCTGTCACACCTGAATTAAACTTCACTCTATCTCGCAGCCCCCTCCGACTACTTCCGACCTTTAGGAATTCCATCATTATCTATCGTTCAATGATGACAGACATGCAACAATGGCAGATCTTACCAGCCGATCTGATAGAACTTCAAATCGGCCAAGTTGAGCTTTTGCTGGCAATGTACCCTGACGAGATCACACTCGACGAGAACTCTCAGGGAATACTAGATATCCTGCGCGATACCGATGATGCTCGGTCTAGATCTGCAGCCAAATATACGCCAGTCATCCCAGTCATCCTTGACCTGCCAGTATCTACGCCCAACGAAGAGTCGCCGAATTCAAGAACATTGCGTCTGGATATCGGGGTACCGTTCGCGTTTAGCGGTGATAAGCCGCCTTTAGACCCACCGACCGTAAAGGTTCGGGTGCAGCAACCGCAATGGATGAACAAAGCCGCCACGTCGCGGTTGACGTCGGACATACCAGAAGATGAAGACCTGCTCAGTAAAATTGAGTACATCAGAGAAGCTGCAGTCGAATACCTGACGGAAATTGAGACGACGGAACTGGGCCCGGATCTCACTGCTGTGGACGCTGGACCGCTGGTAAGGGTTTGGTTCTATTTTCCATCGATCAGCACACGCTCCAAACGCGACGACTTCATCGAGTTTGCTCCTTCTTACCAATTGACCGGCTTTCTTTACGCTGGCAAGCCAGGTCTTCTGTGCGTCGAGGGCCGATCACAAGATATCGATGATTACATGAAGTACATCAAAACGGAAAGCTGGGGCGACATCCCGGCCCATCACAAGAAAGTCAGCGAGCGACATCGCGAGCAATGTGAAAAGCGAGTCTTCCCAGACATGACTGAAATTACCGACACAGTCGGTGAGCGACGCGGCCAAAGAGCGAATAGAGGTGACATGAAGGCGATCGAGGAATGGCTTGTGGAGAGGGGACTAGGCGATGCTTTTACAAAGGTCTTAATGTAATCCATCTCTACTTGACCCCCATACGGCCTCGCTACCTAGCTTTACTCAAACATCCTGGACATGGAATATCAGAGTCGGAACTTCTCGCAACCCCTTATCATCTTCATCTTCATAGTACAAGCATACTTCTTGAATAGTCTTGTGGCCCAGTTTCGCCTTATGCTGAGCGAGCAAATGCAGTACGCCACTTCCATTGGGTGTGCCGCATAACGCTATCGCCTCTTCAGACTCTATTGGGAAAGCTATACCTGGCCATCTCGGAAGCCAGGAGTCATGCGAGATTCCTGGCTCAGCTGTTTCCTGTCGTTTTTTACGAAGAGAGGCAAGGATGATGCTACAGATGGCTCGTGTGTTCGCATTGAGAACCTGGTATCTTACTACAAGTCTTAGTTCTGGCATATTGTACCGAGAACTAACGTTAGTACATACATTCTTCCATTGCAAGAAAGCAACATCGGACCAATGTCGCAGCTCTGGGAGTTTGGCTACCAACGTCGCTGGATCCAGATTCCTATATGGGTTCAGCATTGCTTCCGGGGTCGTGTTGCATTCTGCCAACAAAATACCGGCCTCGGGTTCTATCACGCTGTGAAAATGCGCCATGGTGGCTGGATAGGTCTTACCGTCGACCGTAACGGTCTCGTCGTGATTGGTAAGGATACCCGCTGTAGTGGGAGAAGACTTGAGGGTAGGGCCTAGGGCTCGTACTAGGTTCGTAGCAGGAGTGGGATTCGGGCTGGCAAGAGTGAAAGTACACCAACCCCACATTTCCAAGTCATCGATGTCTTGAAATTTACTTTGAGGCGGACCGTCGGTCATATCCACGATTGTTAGAGCTAGGAGGCGTTGTCCTTTTTCGATGGCTTCTTCGTATGCCAATGCGTCTTTCATGATTGTCCCGACTTCGGGCATCTCATACTTATCACGCATATCTGGAGTGTCTATACTATAGCCGGCAGTTGGACTCGAGCCGAGGAAGCGACCTCACGTTTGTTAAGTACCTGAATTTTTGCACGCAACCTTGGAAGATAAATACATCACTATTAGAATGCAACCGTACACAGTACTATTCAACCTTGCACACATCGTGAATGATTACTACTATTTTGCAAAGGTAAACACACGACATTGCAAAAGTGAGTAATCTCATTTGCATTCGCCGTGCTTCTGGTGTGCACAAAGCCATTGTGAGCTCTCTGAGGTCCCTCAACGCCACCGCCTCAATCTGATGGTAACGCGCTGTAAAGCATTATCTTCTTCCTCTATAGCAAGACACCATTTGCATCTGTCCAGCTTCTCATGTCTGCAAGAGAGTGACCTTCGTGCAGGTGCTCATGGTAGAGGAGCTAGTCTGTATTTGGTAGGGCTTTCGCCAGCGCGACGCGAACGCGTCTCCCAACCACCTCACGCTCTGCCCTGACATCTGCGTCACGATCTCAACAGCCACCTATTCCTGTTCCTGTCGGGCCTAAGCAGCTGCCTCAATTACTGGTCCAGCTATATGCAGCGTAATCTAGTAAGCAAAATTCGATATCGATCGCAATGTCGATGAGTACGATCTTCACTCAGCAATCCTCGCATTCGTGCGAGCGCAGCTGTCCACTGCGACATAACACGCTTGCGCACCTTCAACCACGTTTTGCGAGCTCAGCCCGTTAACAGCTTATATTAGACAAGAGAAGAGAAGATAATTATGTCACTATTGTGGTATACCGCATTGCGCAGGCCATATCCTGCTTGTACTAGAGGCTTGAACCCGCCTTGCGCGCACCAGCAAAGGTGTTTTGTATACCGTCCCATAGCGGCTCGCCACCCTCGGTCATGTCCTTCCATGCTGGGCACGCGAGGCTCAACAGCGGTGATGCCAGGGTGTCCGTCACCAAGCTGATCGGGACTTCGAGGGTCGACAGCAGTGGAGAAAGCGAGTTGGGCAGGAATGTCTTGAGCAGTTCGAACACGAAGCACAAGAGGTTGTTGTTCTCGAGCAGGGAGGCTGCGTTGAGGACGCCACCAGTGACATTGTGGAGATCGAGGCCGGTGAAGGAGTTAACGGTGCCGGTGTTGCCGCCGATGCTATCAAGAGATGTCAGCCTATCACTCAACACTGAAGGTGGAAGATTTTGGATACGTACCTGCCAAGGACTGGATGCTTTGCGACCCACGAAATGATGTCCAAGTTCAGTGGAATCAGGCCGTACTCCACCGGCTTTCGGTACCAGTTCTCGGGGATTGTCTCGTGGCCCTTACGATACTCCATGGTTCCGTTTGCACACTCGTAGACGGCAAAGAACTTGCGGAAGATCTCTTGGGTAAGAACACCGTCGGGGTGCTCAGCTGTGTGGTTCGAGAGCAGACGACCGAGGAAGAAGTAGCCAGCGTTACGGCTGACCATGCCAGTGACGGGCCCATAATAGAAGTTGGGGTTGTGGGCGACGCTGTACTCCCAGCGGCGGGCAGCTTGGTCGGCCAGCAGATCCATGGAGAGAACACCGTTCTCATCGGCACGATCGTGGAAGTCGCGGAAAAGTGTCATGTTCATTGTCCAAGCATCACCAGTCACGTAGAGGTCATCGCGCGTGAGCGATGAGTCTGACTCGATCCAGTTGTGCGAACCTTGAAGACCTCGAGGTTTACCTGGAGGGCGTAAGCATGAGAACACCTGGAATACGTCGGAGTAATAGTACTTACCGAGAAGACCAAGCAGGTTTCCTAGGATGTTGTTCGTGCCAGCAGTGGGGCCTCCGATGGAGAAACCAGGATCCAACGATAGTGGGTTTCCTGTCCAGACAGTACCCATGATACCGAGAACGAGAGCCAGCTCTGTGCCCATGCCCATCACTAGATATCACGCGTGTTAGAATTGGCCAGTGTACTTTAAGACGCATCAGACGGACCTTGGTTGATGGCCGCCACCACTTCCACGAAGCTGGTGACACCATCGCGAGAAATGTATCCATGGTTAGCCAGAGCGTTGAGTCCAGGGCACGGTCCGCGCTGGTCGTTCTTCTTGGGAGCCTGGAAGGCGTGTTTGCCGGTGATGTCAATGGGTTTCTTTACATCAACGAGAAGTCTCTTGGCATGCTTGTACTCCTCCACTGATCGAATAGCCGCATTCAGCTTTTCGGGAGTGAGGCCTTCGAGGTGTCTATGATGCAGAGAAGAAGGAAAGGCATTGGCAAAAATGTTGCCCGAAAGGAGGGTGAGAATGGAGAACGAGAACTTCATAGCGAGCGGAATGGTACGAAAAGATACCTGTTAGACAAACAGCCAAAGAGAGACAAGGGAATGGTAATTAGGTGGTGGTGTCTACGAGCATCATGTAAGCGTAAGCCACATGGAGATGAGCCGGCGGTGAGACGCGGACGAACTGCTGAATGCGGATGTGGCATAGCTGAGCGTTCGATTGCATCGGAGGATTTCTGGCAAAGTGACAAGCTAACCAGTTTCTTTGCCCAGGCAGAGAAGCAACGACTATCATCATTAAACAATCCCAGGAGAATCGTGGGGAAGATCATGAACGACCGCGGCACGGTAAATGCCACCGAGTTCTGACTCCACTTATGCCAGGGACAGGACTGAAAGAGGACTAGATGAGAAGATCCAACACAGTCGATTTGGGATGTTGAAAAGGAGCAAGGCTGACGATACCCGAAAAGTGGTCTGAAACAATTACACCCGATGCCAGGGCTCGAAAGAAGAGGAAAGAGCAGGCAGATCGCCAATAGTGGAGACGCAGTGTGAAGGTCCGATTAATTAAACGGCCCGTCCAACTGGGGCCAAGCTTATCTGTATCCAGAAAGCCGAAGGTTGTGAGTTTACCCCTGCGGTCCGCTCCGGCTCCCTCAACGCTTCCAAGGTTGATGCTGTCGCCAACCGCGCTTTTGCATATAACATACATAACTTTGATAACTCACTTTTTTTGATCGCTCTTTTTGGAGTATGGTAGCAGAGTACAACAGATATGTAATCGTTAGATGCCTTGGCGGAGATCCTTCGGATGAACGTACATACGTAATGTCGAAGGCCCACCTGACGCCTTCGAGAAGCACCGAAGCAAAGATGTCGGAAGAGATAAGTGGCGAAAATTTTGGCATTTTGAGTGGGACGCGCAGATGTTGAATCCCCCCTTGGTACGAGTGGTCTTCGAGAAGGGTTGTCCTTGGTAAAATCCCTGTCGTGGTTGCATTGTGGGCCCTGAGCGGCTTAACGCTCCTTTCCCCGCGTCCTAGCTTCTGAACCCAGCACGGCCTGTTGGCTTCACTCTGTGGACGATCCCACCCATTGCATCCACGCGCTACTGTCGTTCACGCCCGAGTTCGGCGCTTAGTCTGAGTCCAGATCAAGCCTGGACTCTAGTCATGCCACTTCCTGACGTGACTACAGTGTACACCGTGACTGGAAAATGTAATCATCATGTACGCAACGGCACCACGTCGGCAGTGTTGAGAGGCGCTGAACATGATGTCTCGAAATGGGGGAGCGATGAGAAGACCGAAGGTGTGTAGAAGATATAGTACATTATACAGTTCTCTGAAGATACGGTCTATGGGATATCCTTGGTTGTGACGCCTGTACTCCGTTTGTGTCGACGCCAAATGGCTACAACACCAATATTGCCCATGAAGTCTCATACATGTTCTCTTCCCATCATAGGAGGCTTGTTCCAGTCCTGTGGCTTACCATCATTGGCGTTCTCTGTGACCACCGAAGCATTCCTGTGCGTGACTTCCACCTCATGTGTTGCCACGATCCAACCCCTAGAGTCTCGTTCGGTGTCTCGTTTCGTCAACATGGCTCGATCGCTGTTGTCGTCCATGTCGTCCAATGGAATGAAGTTGTTCTCGTCCTTTGCTTTGGGTTTTATGGAAAGGCGGACTGACTTCTCGGGGGCCGTAGAGCTGATGGTCGTGTTGTTGGTACTGTTGAACTTTGAACCTTTCGTCGAAAGGGCTTTGCTTGCTCCGATAGTCGACTGTATCTTCGGCCAGAACTTGGCGATCAATAGCCGGTGAGCAGGCATACATCCGCAGACGATGGAAACGTCGATTTCGATAAGACTCCATAGACCGGCGTCGACGTAGTCCCAGGTGACATTCTGCGTATTCGAGAAGTGGATGAGGGATTCCAAGCGAATGACCGAGATGACGACGACGAAGATACCGACACCAAACATGGACATGACCATGACCTTCTTCTTGATACCCATGTTCAACGCTGCTAGATGTTTCATCGGGAGCGCCATGACGACGACGTCCAGGAAGATGTTGATAGCGGCCGCGATCCAGCCTTGGAGATGGATGTTGTTGCAGGTGCCCTCGTGGAGTCCATCCCATTGATCCCAAGCCATGCTGATGGGCCGGCATTGCATGAGGGTGACGACGAAGAATACGATGGTGTAGACCCCACAGACGCCCATGACGCTGTAAGTAAGGATTCGAAAGCTCTTGGCCGGAAAGACGCGAAGGTAGAAGAAGAGAATCGAGATCTTGGAGACACCAAGGCCAGTCACGTAAAAGATTTCTCCCAGGAAGTAGTAGAACAGGACGTTGGTGATCTGGTCAGCTTTGAGTGTCCAAATGTCTCGTCCAAGACCGTTTTTGACCACTGTAACGTTGTAAGTAAAATGGCGGCCAAGGATTCGTCGAAATCGTCTTACAGAAATGGGTAAAGACCGCGGGAGGTATAGCAATCAAGACAACAATAAACATCGTTAAGTCATCCCATGATACCTGGCGGCCCTTCTTGCCTATACTAGCGGCCATCCTCAGGATGAAGGCTAATATAGCGACAACAGCTCCAGCTATACCAATAGCCATGAAGGAGTCACCCTTGTAACGAATAGGTACTCCACAACCAGTGCTGGTGATATTTTTGGTCTCTGCTACGCATCAGTATCCAAGTATGCGGCCCGCACGTTACGAGGGTATACTCACGCATAAGCTCATAGATCGTACATGTCTTCTGGGAGCAGGCGGCTACCGCAAGATTGAGGGCAGTGTTGGTGCATAAGCACTGCGAGGTGAGGTCTGTGGCGCATGTCGACTTGGGAAGCTCTTCCATAAAACATGCCAACTATACGAATATGTCAGACGAGAGTTCAGCTACAGTCTTCATATAAGAACACATACAGCGCACTTTGGCATGTGTGCCGCCAGAGCCTCAAGCGGGTTCTGAGCATGAACGGCAGCCACGAAGGCCCCAAGAAAAGCTACCACAGTTCTTAACCGCATTGGGAAATATCATGTGCAGGTGTCGTAAAAGAAAGGCAAAATGATAGAGTTGAGGAAAAGGCGATAGCGGCTGGCTTCGGACAACGCTTCGTACGAAGGTTTGAAGGTAATAGGTTATGTACTACAGTAAATACCAAGCAAATAATCTGCACGGCGCTCGTGTGGAGTTGCGATAACACAAAATGTGCCCACTTGAGCGTTCTCATCCGGGCCAAGGGGAAATCATACCGAAATATGGATCGGTGGAGAGTTGGCAGGTCGGGTTACGAATGACACCGAGAGGGGTGGAGAGCAAGGGATTGCTCTGCAAATGCCGTATTCAGTCGCTGGGGAACTGCCTTTGCACACCCGGTCACGGAGCCAGGGTGTGTACATACCGCGCACCTTCCCTCATTTTGACAAGCCCTTCAGAAGTTGTCTCTGGCACAGTCGATGTCGTCGAGCATCCCTGGGGACGGCTCGCAGAACTACCAAGAGCTTCTGCCGTGCTTATGCAGACGGGGATGTTTTCCAGCACACATCGGAAGCTGGCTGCGATGGACGTTGTTGGGGATGGAAATCCTCTGGAGCTACAGGCGCTGACTCTTACTCGTTCATAGACCCTTGAGGCCCACCCTGACCGCCAAGTCGATTCTAGCACGTGCATAGTGGAGTCGTGCATGGATTACGATCGATACAGGTACGTTACCTTCGAGGCGTCCTCTTGTGGCCGCGCTGGAGCCCTCGATCGACTTGGGTTGTGAAATTTGAGGTGGAGACTTTCGCGGCGTGGTTATCCGATGACGTTTGCGGCGTACGTTGGGCAGTCGTAACTACCGTGTACGGTAGCGACGATGCGTGCCGCCGGCAGAAGAGGTTCAGAAGGATGCCAAGGTGCATATATTGGATGCAGCAGCGACGACTATCATGAGATATCCAGATTGAGCGAGATTCAAGCTAGACGACGGCTACATTCTAACTTTGATCGTTGACTTGCAAAGTTCAGCCATCTCGCGGGAGTTTCCTTGCTACATGGAGGTAAGTTTACGCCAGCCAGGTTCGGTCCGACTTCCAGTGCGCCCAGGGTGGAAGTTCGGTCTAGCTTCAAACAACGCCTCGTCTCCCCGCTCAATCTCTTGACCTGCAGCTAGGAGAATTTCTGTCCTTCGCTGACTCGAGAGCCTCGCATTCGTCACATTTGTCAGTGCGGGCGAGGATGCCGTCCGACATGGGAAGCCTTTCTACCATGCGCCTGGATCCACTAGCGCACGGGTTGTACTACCATCCTCATGCGGTAAGAACAGGCTGACCTGTAGGGGGAGGATTAGCCGCAGGTCGCATTCGTGAAATGTCAAGGACCAAAGGGGTAGATGGTCGATGATCGTAATGTTCACCACGTGTACCGCGACTACCGGTGGCGCTTCGTGATGGTTGAGCGAGGCTGTCCTGCATGCCAATATAAGCTTTCACAGGGAAGCCCTCGTCGCTTTCTCTCCACACTCGTTCTCGCAACGACGTTGTATATCCAGTCCTTTGCTTTTTGTCTCTTCTTTTTTGCAAGGTTATTACTACCTCTAATTCCGTCACAATGATTGTCATTAAGGCTCTTGCCGTCCTCTCCTTACTTACCAACTTCACTTCTGCACGCATCATGTATGTTATCACGTGCCAATATCAACAAATGAGTGCTAATCAGACCACAGCGACGGCGCCGAGCACACTCCTTACCGCGGCGAGAATGTCAAGCGTGCTGTGAGCGCTACCAACACCACCACTCTTGAAGACTACGAGTATGTCGTTGTCGGATCTGGTGCCGGCGGTGCACCTCTCGCAGCCAGGCTAGCTCTTGCTGGCCACAAGGTCCTTCTCCTTGAGGCCGGTGATGACCAGACCAACACCACTCAGTACAACGTGCCCGTCTTGCACTCTGTTGCCGCCGAGTATGAGCCCATGCGATGGGACTACTTTGTCAAGCACTTCGACGACGAAGAAGAGCAGAGGAGGGACACCAAGCTCACCTATGAGTTGACCGACGGCACCCGCTACACTGGTCCCAGCCCTCCCGCTGGCGCCAAACCCCTCGGTGTTCTATACCCCCGTGTTGGCTCGCTCGGAGGCTGCACTGTTCACAATGCCCTCATCACTGTATACCCATACGAGAGTGACTGGGAGTACCTCCAGTCCATCACTGGCGATTCTTCTTGGGCGCCGAGCAACATGCGCAAGTACTTCACCCGCTTGGAGAAGTCGCGCTACCTACCCAACAGCGTTGTTGGACACGGATTCTCCGGATGGCTCGAGACCTCACTGACCGATCTCACTTTGATTGTTCAGGACCTCAAGGTCATCTCCCTCGTCCTGGCTGCTGCTACGGGTATGGGCAAGAACCTTCTTTCTTCGCTCATCACCACCGTGACTGGCCTCGGTCAGGTTCTGCTCCGCGACATCAACAACCCTGGTGCCAACCGCGATTCCGCCGAAGGCATGTGGCAGGTTCCTCTTGCCATGAAGATTCCGGAGTACAAGCGTGCTGGCCCCGTCGACTTCCTTCACCAAGTCATCAACGCGAAGAACCGCGATGGAAGCCGCAAGTACCATCTCGACATCCAGCTCAACACCCTCGTCACCAACGTCGACTTCAACCAGAACGGTACCACACCCAAGGCTACTGGTGTCAGCTTCTTGACTGGAAAGTCTCTCTACGGCGCTGATCCCAGGCGCCAGTCCGGATCTGCTGCTGGTAAGGGAACAAAGGGATCCGTCACTGCTACTCGCGAGGTCATCCTGTCAGCTGGTGCTTTCAACACCCCTCAGATCCTGAAGCTATCCGGCGTTGGTCCCAAGGAGGAACTCGAGCAATTCGGCATCAATGTCGTCAAGGACCTACCTGGTGTCGGCACCAACCTCCAGGACCGCTACGAAATCCCCGTCATCGGTCAAGCACCCAGCAAGATTTCTCTTCTCAACGGCTGCACATTCCTTGAAGGTGACCACGACCCCTGCCTCGAGAAGTGGGAAACTGGCACGCTTGGAATCGGAAAGGGTGTCTACGCCACCAACGGTATCGCTCTTGCCATCACCAAGAAGGCTAGCAACTCCCCCAACGGCAACGCTGATCTTTTCGTCGCTGGATGGCCCGCATACTTCAACGGATACTACCCCGACTTCTTCGCCAACGCCACCCTTGGCCGCGACGCCTGGACCTGGCTCACTCTCAAGGCTGAGTCTCGCAACAACGCTGGTACTGTTACCCTCCGTAGCGCTGATCCCCAAGATGTGCCTGAGATCCGCAAGCGCAACTTCGCTGTCGGCGGTGACGAGGACCTTGACGCCCTTGTTGAGGGAATGAAGTACGGTCGCGAGGTCTTTGAGGATCTCATTCCTCTTGACGGCAAGTTCAAGGAGGTTTGGCCCGGAAAGCAGGTTCAGACCGACGAGCAGTGGAAGGAGTTTGCCAAGTACGAGTCCTGGGGTCACCACGCTTCTTGCACTTGCCCTATTGGTGCCGACGATGACGAGAAGGCTGTTCTTGACGGCAACTTCAAGGTCCGTGGTGTTGAGGGTCTCCGTGTCGTCGATGCTTCCGCTTTCCCCAAGATTCCCGGCACTTACCTGGCTCTTCCCCTCTACATGTTGTCTGAGAAGGCATCCGACGTCATCATCGCGGACGCCAAGGTCTCCAAGTAAAAATAGCGAGTAACGGGAGTGCATAGCGTGACTCCACCATTAAGTTTGGTTGTATATAGCGTTCCTAATGTATATTTGAAAATCCGTTAACACATCCCGGTCAATACCGCCATACCCGCAACGTGATCCACGCCCGCTACCTCCTCCTCTTCCAATAATTTGTCAATCTTACTCTTGCTCTTAATCCTCCAGAATGCTTGCGCGCCATCTACAAACCTCTTGCTGATATCATCTACATCTTCCGCAGGGCATGCGGCGAAGCACAACCGGAAGCAGTTGAAGCTGTCCATTGCCTTGATCTCCTCGTTGGCTGCGAACATTGTACCGGGAGCTACGAGACATAGGTAGGGTTTCGAGGTCCAGAAGACCCACAGAGCCCTAGAAAGGCGGGCGGCAGGTACCTGCTTGGCGAGCGGGTGGGACGCGAAGTCGAAGCGCACCCACACGAACATGCCGCCAAGAGGTCGAACGAAGGAGTAGATCTGCGTCTTCTCGACCACGGCCCAGTCATCCTCTTCGTCAGCGACGTCGACGAGACTCCTCCGGCGGCCAGCTTTTACAGCCTCCTTTCCAGCGTCCAGTGTGTCGCACATCTTCTGCATGCGACGCTCATAGTTGCCTCGGAGGCCTTCCAGCCAGCGCACCCATCCATCCACTTTCCAGCCACTGCCATCGGCTGCGCCGCCCTTACCAGGATCGTTCGAGGCTTGAGGACCCATGAGCAGTTCTGCCATCATGGACTGCACGAAGCCTGAGGGCTGCTGGGTCGAGGTCTCGGTAATGCGGAGGAGACGTTCTACGAGTGCAGGCTGCGCGGTGATCCAACCAAGACGGCACCCGGGGGCTACCGTCTTGGAGAAGGTATCGAGACGAACAACGCGACCCTGGTAGTCTACGCTGAGGTATGAAGGAATGAGACTGTCCAGGAATTCGAAGCCAGAAGATTTAGTAGGCTTGGGAGGAACGCTGCTAGGCGACGAGGACGGGTACTGCAGGTACCAGTATGGGTCATCCTCGACGATGATAATGTCGTACTTGACGCAGAGAGCGTAAATCTCGGTTCTGCGCTGTACCGATAAGGTGCCTGATGTGGGGTTCTGGCCAATGGTGACGGTGTACATGACATGTGGGCGGCGGCCCTTTGAGTAGTCCCAGTTCTCTAGAACATCTTGCAGACCACCCTTTCCATGCGCCATCATTCCCTCGTCGTCGATGGCTACTGGCGCAATGTTGAAGCCTCGTGGCCGGGCGGTCTGGATGGCGTTCATATAGCAATATGTCTCGCACAGCAGCCCTGGCCTCTCGTCGACAGGGTCATGTTCGGCTGACCACTCATTGCTGAGCGCTGTCAGCGTCTTGGAGAAGCCATCGGTAGAGCCGCAGGTCAAGATGACCTCTGGCCCGTTCTTGTATGGGACGAAAGGATGTAGGTTCTCCCTCGTGAACTGCCGAATGAACTGGTATAGTGCGGGGTATCCCAGAGCCTGGCCGTATTGCAGTGCAGACTTCAGGTCGATCATGCGCAGGGGATCTGGCACATTGGAGTACTTGGGTACGACGAGGCGCGACGCAGGTGGCTCCTTCTCTCTACGCTCTGCGATGCATGTCTTCGCGAGTTGGGCGGTCGGAGGATCGTCGGCGGGCGGATCGACGGGCTTGTTGGGCGTTGGCTGCCATCGGTTCGGCTGTGCGACTTTGGCCTCGAGCGTGTCGTAGGGGAAATAGTGATCGTTGGGGAGACCTGGACCAAATCAGTAATCTGAGGCGAAACATCCGGTCAGGCGCGCGCATACCTCCAGCTAATTGGGCGATGCCGGGAATCTGGAAGTACTTGTAGAACTGTTTGACAGAAGAAGCTTCGCGCGCTCTCGTGCTGCGTGACAGGAAATGCGTAAGATCCACTGGATCGGGGAAAGAGCTCGGGTCAGAGTTGTACGGCGCCATCGTGGCACTGCAGCGGTGTGCGGATAAGGTTTACGCGGACGCGTCAGATGCAACAACTCTTACAAGATCGGCCAATACAAACAATCGCATACAAAGAGTTGAAAGACGATGGGGATATTCCTGGGTATGGAGTCGCTCCGTCGCCCGAGGCGAATGGTCCGAGGGACCGATAAGGCGCTGATTAGAAATGCCAGAACGGTGACCTCATCACCAAACGGGAAGCCGCATGAGCTGGCTAGGCCACGTTGAGCCACGTTCAGCCACACGTGGGAGCTGCAGCTGGGAATAACCATCTCGAACGACCTGGGATGAGAGCGAGCATGATAACTCTGGTTCTACTGTATCGGGGCGTGAACCTTCACATACTGCCATTGCCGCCGACACCCAAAGCTTTGGAAGCTTCCTACTCGGAGGCCGATCTTACCTAGCGTCTCAGTGCCGTGAAGCCGGAACGTGGGCACTCCACAGGCCCGCATCATGCAGGTCCCGAAGCTCCCCAGAGCTCTTTCCTTGCCATTGCCATGCCTTTGCCTTCGCTCGTATATTCTCACTTCCTTTCCCCCCTTCACCTCGTCCTGTACATGAGTGTCTTTTGAGTCTTTTGCCAGCCATCGCTCATCGTCGCACATCTCTACGCGCATTCCTATCGATAAGCATCCGTTGTGCCTCGGCGCATCGTCATCCTATTCACTACCAAAGTGTCGTCCCCTACGAGGTCCCGCCACGAGCTGGCATCCATCTACGATATGGAGCCGCGGGAAAGCCTCGACGACGAGGGCGCGCCTCCGCAAGCCTACCGCGACGACGAGAACGCGACCGCACTTCCTGCCGAGTCAGCCGACGCCATCGCGACTCCCGAGACATCCGGTCAAGAGCACGACACCCCACAAGAGCCCTATTACGCCAACAAGTACATCCCGCCGCGGTTGCAACGTGCATGGAACAATGTTGTCGTATGGGTCAAGGGTCCACAACCGCCCCGACCCTGGAAGATACACCCTTTCTTTCCCAAGATACAGACTGCGCCAATCCGGTTGCTGAACAGCTACTTTCCTGAAAGAAGACAGAAGATCGGCCTGCTGGTCTTCTTCTACTTCTGCTGGATCCTGACATTTGGCTTGGTCCTGCATCGTAGCGCGTTTGCAGCGGACATACCTGGATATGGCAGCCCCGTGCGAGTACGGTGTACGGATCGCTTCTGGGACGATGGCAATGGCTGCGGGCTCAACGGCGATCTATGTCGACCGTTCGAGAACAGCACCATGCCGTTCCGCTGCCCCGCAAACTGTAAACGCGTGCAATTGCTTAATCCACATGCTGTTGGTGACAAGAATGTCAACTATCGTCCATTGGTTATTGGCGGACCCACCGACGAGGAAAACACCCTGGAGAACACATATTACCGCGCCGACTCTTTCATCTGCGGAGCTGCTATCCATGCTGGCTTCATAAATGACGCGTCGGGTGGCTGTGGAGTTGTTGCGCAGGTTGGCGAGAAGACTGACTACCCCAGCGTAAACAGGAGACACATCAAGAGCATTGGCTTTGATTCGTATTTTCCGCGCTCCTTCTCCTTTCTGCCCGGCACGGCAGCCAAATGTCGCGACTTACGGTGGCCATTACTAGGCGTATCGCTGACCTTCACCATCCTGTTGTCTTTGTTTACTACCTCACCATCCGTCTTCTTTACCTCCATCTTCGTCGGTGTCTTCTTCCATGTCGCACTGGCATCAGACCCTCCCAACTTGACTGATTATTACTCCATAATCAGTATTGCTCTGTCACGCTTCCTTCCCGCATCCTTTTGCATGTATGCTGTCTACCGGTTTGCAGTGCGTCGCCAACTGCAAGGTCTTCACGCACAAGTAGAGAAAACCATCCTCTGGCTCGGCGGATGTTGGATCGGCGCCCTAAACAACTACACGTTCGACAAGATTCCCATAGAGCGTCTCACACCCCACGATATCAAGAACCAGCCAGGCGCTATTCCTGCGCTGATCATTATCGTCCTCACCCTATTCGTCATCGCCCTGGGACAGGCATGGTCATTCCGTGTCGAAGGTCGTCTACCGCGTTACCTTGCCCTCTATGGCATTCTGGTGGCTGGCATCCTCGCACTCGTCGCCATACCAAGGATGAACGTCCGCATCCACCACTACATCCTCGGCCTGCTCCTTGTACCTGGCACATCTATGCAAACACGCCCCTCGCTCCTTTTCCAAGGCATTTTGATTGGCCTCTTCATCAACGGGACCGCACGCTGGGGCTTTGCCAGTATCCTCGAGACACCCGGCGCACTTCGTGGTGACGCGCCCATTGGCACCGTGCTCCCACTCATCACTGCGCCTATCATCCACAACAACTTCAATCTCCACCATCTGAGGCCCAACATCACCTTCGATTGGCACTACCCATTCCCTGAGCCTTATGATGGAATGAGCGTTCTGGTCAATGATGTAGAAAGGTACCATGAATACGCTGACCGTATGGAGGAAAGCTGGACCTGGACTAGACACATGGAAGGCGTGAACGAATACTTTCGATTCGCTTATATAAGAGGCGGTGGAAGGGGGGATTACACGAAAGCAGGAGTTTGGAGAGCGGATGGTGGCTGGACAGACATGGCCTCCGGGCCATCGTAATCCCTTTGCAAGAGAATGTACTAGTCTTGATCAGCACCGCGTCGCATCGCATGATCTCTCGTTTTAGGCGCTTCACTTGTGGTGGTAAGCGCCTAAAAAGAGAGATCATGCGATGCGGTACGGTACTAAAGACAGCAGTTTATTGTAAGGCTAACAGATCGCTCATCATTGCTTCGCCTCCACTTCTATCTCGATGAACACATCCAACAACACGTTCATTCTTTCTCTGAAACTTCCACTCAACTCATCAACTCGTACGAACGTTTTTCAAGCTGCGCATCTGGCAAGGAGGGTATCGTTGCTCTAATGCAACATGACCGAGCGGACGAAGACGTCCATACGATGTATATTTCAAATCTGATCGGTAGTCATGTTGCACATTGATTTCGCAAGAAGTGAGCATACGCTTTAGGGAAATGCGTGTTAGATGTTTCACTTTTAGTAAAATTAGAATGCATTGCTGAGATTGCACGACAAGGCAACAGACACTGTCTAGATCCTTCTGTGATACCACGTCGCCTTGAGTATTGAGTCTGGTTAGTTTGTCTTGGTGTTCACTATTCGTCCGCCGTTACGGACCACTCGACCCATGCAGAATGATACGTATCACTAGTTGGCTAAGCTTGCGACCCGCCCAAGGCCGCAGGTATGTCTGTGTCGGAAGTGAGGGCAACATCTCGCATCGCGCCATCGCTTGTATCCAAATACATGAATGAACTTTACATTCGTTCGGTGTTTAGTTGAACTGCACAATGGACACGTGACTGGTGTAACTGTCTATGCCGGGGCCGTTATTCCCGTACGCATATGCGTAAGAGTGGTTGAGCGGGGCCATTGTGCAATCCTTGTCGAGGAGGGGTCGGGAATAAGTGGAGCACGCCTTACCAAGAATACGCATTGTGTTGGTGGCATCATCGGACGACTGGTATGTGTGAACATTTGTAATGTGGATGCTGGCTCGCTCGGCGTTTTGGGAGAAAGACGCGAGCTGCTGCCTGCTGCATTGGGTATATAAGTCAATGGAAGAGGGGTGTTGGGAAGGAACTATCAACAGCTCAACCGCGGCTTCCTCCCCTGCATCATCGGTTATATCATCAACACCATCGCTCGTGCTTTCCCCGCTGTCAATTCTTCTACGCATTGAAGCTTTTGTCTGACCCTAAACACAACAAATCAATCCCCACGAATCAAACTCGGATTCCATCACCCATCACCATGGTCAAATCAGTCTTCGGAGGAGCTGCGCTCTCAGATACTGCGTACTTCAACACGCAAGAAGACCGTGCCAAACTCATCGATGTTCTGCTTGCCAACGGCGTCAAGAACATTGATTCCGCACGTCTCTATGCTGGATCCGAAGTTGCCATCGGCCAACTCGAGAAGCGCAAGGACTTTGTCATCGATACCAAGCTGCCTGGCGGTTTTGGTCCGCCCGGTGAACTCAAAAAGGACACTGTGATCAAGTACTGCCAGGAATCCATCGAGCGTGCCAAGATCGACCAGTTCGACATCTTCTATATCCACGCTCCAGACCCAACCGTTCCTTTTGAGGAGACCCTGGAGGGCATGAACGAGGTGTACAAGAAGGGCATCTTCCGCCGCTTTGGCCTCAGTAACTTCTCGGCCGAGCAAGTTCAGCAAGTCTACGACATCGCGAAGGCCAAGGGCTACCCGCTCCCACAAGTCTACCAGGGTAACTACAACCCTGTTGCCCGTCACTTGGAGACTCAGCTCTTCCCCACACTCCGCAAGCTCGGTATGCACTTCTACGCATACTCGCCCCTTGCTGGTGGCTTCCTTGTGAAGACGGCAGCAGATCTCGATGCAGGCGCCGGACGCTTCAACGAGCAAGCCATGGGCAATATGTACGGAAAGCTGTACGATAACGAGACCATGCGCAAGGCGCTCATCAAGTGGAACGAGATTGCCGAGAAGGAGGGTGTCACCAAGGCGGAACTCGCATACCGCTGGATGGCCTACCACAGCGCGCTTGAGGGAGACGAAGATGGTGTCATCTTCGGTGCTAGCAAGATCGCTCAGGCTGAGCAGACTGCGCAGAGCTTGAAGAAGGGCAAGCTTAGCGATGAGGCGGTCAAGGGCATTGAGCAGATTTGGGAGAGCGTCAAGGAGGTCGCTCCTGTTGATAACTACCACAGTTATACTAAGAAGTAGTAGATGACGCCATGATATATTAGAAGTTGTCGTAATCTCATAATGAAACATCGACATAGTCTACCTCGATCTCACCGTGCTGGCCCGTGACCGTTCACCCACAAAACCATACGACGCCCTACGCGCACTATCTGATGCCGTGCTTCCGAAGAACCTTTTAACACGTCTTCCACTTCACGACTTAGT